AGAGAGAGAGAGAGAGAGAGAGAGAGAGAGAGAGCGCTCTGCCATCCTTGGTAGAAGCCTTTTGATTTGGAGTTAAAAAAAAAATTATCCAAGAAGCCTGCAATTGGCCAGCAGCTTAAAAAAAATCTCTTCCGGGTTTTCAACGGTTCCAAGTTTATTTAGCTATTTTTTTTAATGCAAAAAAAACAGGGACAAGCGATGAAGCAATTCGTCTGAGCATTTTAAAGTTTCTCACGTACTCTTTTTACATTGCAATGGTACGTGGTACATCTTAAACTTTCTATTTTACATTTATAGATATGCGTTATATAAACAACGGTAGAATGGTTATGCTTAACGGTTAAGACTTTAAAATTTTTCTAGCTCGGATATTCACTTAAGTGATTGCTGGGTAAATGTCTATTGTGATGGTTTTCTTTTAAAGATGCAGCTTTGTGGATGGTGTTTTTGTTACGTGCAGCAAAGATCGGGTTCCTTTTTCTTTCTTTCTTTTTTTTTTTTCAGGATTTGAAAAAATTGCTGAGCTTAACAGATTTCTTTCCTCCTAGCGCTTGCTCCGTTCCAGAAAAGGGGGGAGGGGGAGGGGGATCCTGTACGTGCTCTGCTCTGTTAAAGACGTCTGGCCTCTGCTGCAGTCAACCTAACCCGAAAAGAAATGTCTGGACCCGAGAATAATTGACTATTCGATCCTCTAATCAATGGGACAACATGCGAGATTGACAGAAGTTCTATCCAATCACGACAAAGCTTGGGCATACAATGGTTCGTAATAGCCATAGGGGGCGGGGCAAAGGAGATCTGAAGTTCTCTGCAGTTCTGAAGGGGATGGTGTGTAGTTCAAGCTGTCAAAGATACTAGCGCTTCCGGATTTAACAATTACAATAGAAAAGAAGGGTGGTTTTTTGGTTATTGTTGTTTTTAGTTTAAAGGAGAAAAAAGGCTGTTGGGGGTTGCATGGATCCTGTGTGGCTTTTAACTTTGCTGTTTTGGAAAATTCTGCTACAGTAATATTTAACCTTGTATTAGTTGTTATTTTTAGCACTCAGGGAAGTTGGTAACTGGTAGAAGGAGCGGCGATTTAGCTTCTTTGAGAAATATGCCTCAATTTGGGACTGCACTAAGTCCTTCAGAACTTCTCACTAATTCTTTTAGAATCTTTGATGTATCAAAGAAAGACAATGCTTCATAGGTAGATGGACAACTGATCTATAGATTTGAAAAGGAGGAGGGAGGGACTGGATTTTCCTGAATTCTACTGTTTCGGATTATGGTCAGTAGCAAGGAGCATATTAAGAACCGCCAAGTTTACATTTCTTTGTGTTACCACAACAGCCCTACTGGTGGGTATATCCATGGAAGAAAACTGACTCTGGTTAGCTGCAGTCTGGCCTCCTGTTCAAGTCCTTGCCATCTGCATGGTGGAAACCAGCTGCCTTAGTTTGTCTTGGGGATGTAACTTGCAGCCTCAGGTTCAAATCTATCAACCGCCTCCTAATTCTGTAGGGAATACATGGAAAGTAATATGGATTCTTTACTTTTCAATGTGGAGTTAATTCTCATCCAACCATTTCCTGAGGCTTTGGGCCTTCCAGACAAACCTTGTTCAGACACTTGATGTGAAAACTCACTGTGTGCTCAACTCATCAGCATGATTCAATTTGGGATTATATGGACATAAGAGAAATCTGCACACAAGTGGCCAGCAAGTAAAAGGAAAAAAAAAATCAGTGAAGACAGATGCTGGAAAATGCTAGTTAAGAGTTAGTCTTGGTGATAACTACAGAGCAAATGGTATTGTCACTTAGGGGTCCCGGTCATTTTCACTACTTTGGGCATTAAAATCTAAATCACATTAATACAATTTCCCAACTAAATAGAAAGGAGAGGTATTTCAGATGTATGTAGAAGTGAAACTTTATTGACGTAATTTATACATCTAAGAGGATTTCACTAAAGCTGGCAAGGTAACGTTTCTGCAAATAAAACAGTAAATGCAAGGCTGGGCTCTGTGCCAGGCAGAATATGGATAGCAGAGAGCATGGCAGGAACCTCTTTTTTGCAAAGACAATCCGGGTTTCAAGGCAGCCTCCTACCACTTGCAGAATAAACGGTTGGAGTAATGTTTCCAATAAGGCTTTACCCTTTCTAACAATGGGTCACTTATATGATTGCAATAAACTAGTTTTCATATATCACCTGTGTTTCCTACACTCTCTCTTCTCCCTTCTCTTTGCCCCTCCCATCCCTCCCCCCTCTTTCCCAGATCTTCCTTCCTCTCCCTCTCTTAGTATCTCTGTGAACTCTAGACAAGGATTTACTTTTGCAACCTAGAAGAGAGGAGAAAGTTAGAAATGCTTTTTATCCCGGGTCTGTCCTCTAAGGAACATCTGTTTCTTTGTGTGTTTAAATTTATGCCTGTTGGAGAGAAAGTTACCAGAAGCCATTCTGTAACTGTAACTCTTCTACGGTATTTTTCTCAGTCTAGTTTGCAAAGGCTGTAGTTGGAACTGGGCTTTGTAGTGTTTCCCCCGCCTTCCACCCTCCTCCGGAGCGGGGGAGGGAGCGGAGCTGGCACAGATAGGAGAGAAAGCAGGAGCGGATGTGGAGGGCTTTGGTGCTGAACTTGGATCCAGCCCTTGCCTAGAGGGCGCAAACAATCGTCCCATATCCAAAAGTCTTACGAAGGGCGCCAAAAGTTACTTAAGATAATATTGCTAACCGCAGAATGCTGGAAATCGCGGGCACATCCACTGCTGCAACAAAAGAAGTTTCTAAAGTGGAAATATCAGCATTCAATTACTTTCCCCCATTTAAATAAAGAAGACATGGCGACAGGCAGTTATTTAAAAAAAAAATCCCCTTGAGAATCAAAAGTAAAATTCTTTACTGTTTTGAAAAGAGGCAGATGTGAAGTGTATCTATACACCAAAAAAAAAAAAAAAATCCAGTTTGGAAGACAGCTTCCCCAGAGCACACACACGGGACAATAACTTGTCACTGTGCCTCAGTTACATGTTGGGTCCCTCAGCCAGAAACTTCTGTCGAGGAAACTTGGAGAGTCTTGAAGTTATAGATCCCAGCAAAGGGTTTCGTGGCCAGGAATGTTTCTCTAACTCCTCTTAGCTTGGAGGACATTTCTTCCTTACTGAAAGCCACGAGGAACCAAGGAAAGGCGGTTGCTTACTTTGGGAAAATGGACGTCCTAACTAAAGGTTGAAGTTATTACTTTCCTTCAATCCTTAATATGTAATCGGAATAATATGTATTCCAAGAATATTCGAGAGCAGGGGGTGAGTGGGAAAGAATGGATTCTTGAGCATAAATAAGTTCTATACGGACTAAAGAACAAACAAAACTTTAGACTGCCGGCTGCCGCAGCAGAACATTATATTTGGCCTTCTCTAGTTGCATCCTTGCCCACCCCGGAAAAAATCTGAATGAAAGTGGTCCTGCTCCTTCACTCTCTTCTGTCCTTGTCATCTCCACCAGGGAGCAGATCCCCGGTCTGTGTGCCAGTGTCGGAATCTGGGGAGTTTTAAAGAAGGGTTGATAAATACAGAAGGCTGCAAAACTTCTGGAAGGAGAGAAGGAGAAAATGAGAATTTGGAGAAGACAGGTACACTTTTTCTCCCCCTCTGGGAGAAAAGAGAGTCTAGAGAGAAAGTGTTAAGTTTAAAAAAAAGAAAAAAGAAAGAAGGAAGGAAGGACGGAAGGAAAGAAGAAAAGGAAAGCTGGAGGAGCAGGCTTGTTGGCAAGGTGCCAAACCCTAAAACCGTCCCCCCCCCCTGCCAAAACAATACTTTAGCAAACCTAAAATAATTGCAGGAAGCTCTTTTCCATCTTGAGAACTATTACCTGGGGGAGGGAAAAGTGAGGATCCACAAAACGCACCTTTCTAGAGTGTGTCTGAGGAACAGGGACTCAGATGTTAGCCCTAGTCTAGTCCTGGGCTCCCATTTGGGGATACAAACATATTCCTTTCCTAAGGGGGCGACCCTTTCACAATTTTCCTTCTCAGTATACAGAAAAATGTCCCAGTGAAACCACTGTTGTTTCTGATGTGACAGAACTTTTCGGGGGACGTTTGTGTTCAAACCCACCAGCTCCTGAGTTCTGGGAGAGAAGAGCGGTCGCTCATGACTCTCGGCTTTCCTTTCTCCAGACACCCCCCTCCCCCGTAATCTGGGGAATCTTTGGGGTGATCTTACTATTCCCCCCCCCCGCACCCAGATTCTGACTGCTATAGGGCCGTAGCTGTAAAGTTAGCAGGCTTTTGTGCATATTACCTCTGCCGAAGACACTATTCCCACAGAAAGCTTTGCAGGAAAGATTACAATGCTTTGAGCTTTACCGCATTTCAGAGGAAGGGGGGAAAAGTTACCTAGAAGGTCTGATTTTTTACAAGAAATTTGCATACATGCAAATGTACCGCGCGCCCTTCTCTGGGGTTCCTAGGGAACCCACCCGGCGGCCCACAGGGGTGCGGGGCGCCCCGACAAAGTTGCCCCAATCCTCTACCGACGTCCGTGGAGGGCTGCGGCGCGGGTGGGGGAGGGATGGGGAGGAGGAAAAGTAGTTTTGTTTGCTTAAGCACATCCTGTGGCAGCCTATAGCCGCCCGGAGGACACGCTGAAAAACCGCTCCGCGCCGCGTTCCCGGGACCGCGTTGAGCGGGGCGGGGGCGGGGGCCGCGGGGAGGCAGCGGGCGCGGAGCAAGCGGCGGGCGGGCGGGCGAGCGAGCGGGCGAGCGAGCGGGCGGCCGTGCAAGACTGGGGACCGGTGTCAGCTCCGCAGCCGCCCCTCCCCCACCCGGCTCCCCCCACCCTACCCCACCCCACCCCCACCTCCACACCCCCCCCCCCCCCCCCCCCCCCCCCCCGCGGCGGCGGCGCGAGCGGGCGGCGGCCGTGCGGTGCGGTACAGAACGCGGCGCAGGCGGGCGCGCGGGCAGCTCGCGGGCACCCGGCCGGCCGGCGCGGGAGCGGGAAAGGGTGCGCTATGCCTTTAACGCCCGCGTACAGTAGACAGTATAGTGGAGTGTAGGGAAACTCTAGGCGGGGTTAAAGTTCAGCGCGTGGAGCGGCAAGAGCGCTGGCTGCTGCAGTTGAGCCGAGTTGGAAATGTGAACGCAAGAAGCAGGCTTGATTTTTTTTTCCTCCCCCCCCATCTCCTAGCTCTCTCCTCTCTCTCTCTCTCCCTCTCGCACCCACACTCACGCACACCTCCAGCCCGCACACAGACGTGCACGCACCCCCCGCCGCCCGGCAGTTATGTATTCTCCGCTCTGTCTCACCCAGGTAAGAAGCAGCTGCGGGGGGCGCGGGGCGGCCGTGTGCCTCGGCGGGAGCCGTGTCTGCGCGTGTTTCTGTGTGTGTGTGCGCGCGCGTGTGCGGGGGGTGGGGGTGGGGGGGCTGCAGCTTTAAGAAAGTAACTTTGTTTCCATGCGGGTGCATTCCTCCTGCTCGGCCATTTGTGTGGGCACATGGCTAATGGCGCCCTCTTATTAATGCGTTAATTAATATCGGGGAGCCGGACTGCGGAGCGCCGGGCTTTGCGGGCGGGCGCCCCGCACGTGTGTCCCCGGCTGCAGCCCCTGACACGCTGCAATCTGGACTCGGCGGCTGCGGCGCGGAGCGGAGCGCGGTGCCCGCGAGTCCTCCGCTTCCTTCCAGGGAGGGGCGGCTGAGCCCCCCGCAAACCCCGCACGCCGGCTGCACCGGGGCGCCCCTGGTTGCCGGTGTCCTCCCGCGCCGCCGCGCCCCCCACTCCCGCGCCGACGCCCCGAACTCTTACTTTTGTTTAGTGCCAGCTTTGCGGGCCGCCCCGGGGCAGCGCCCCTCGGACGCGGCGGGCGGTGCGAGCATTAGCCCATGGGCTGCGTAGACGCACGCCCCGCGCCGGCCCGGGACCTTGCTGTCCCCGTCTCCTGCCCGCGACCCCCAGGCGAAAGTTTCGGGGTCCGGCCGAGTCCACGCCGCGCAGGCCAGAAAGCCCCCGAGGCCGCGGGTCGGGCCGGGCCGGGCCGCTGCGGGCGGAGTAGGGCTCCGGCTCCAGGGCGAGCAGCGGCCAGGGCCGGATCGGCTGCCCCGCCGCCACCGCCGCCACCGCCTAGGCAATCCCGGGGCGGCTCAGGCAGCAGGACCCCGCAACTTTCCCTGAAGCCCCACTCGCAGCGTGGGGCCTGGCGCCCCTCCGCCTGCCCCTCCTGCCCGAGCCTCCCAGCCCATCCCTCCCGGTCTAGTCTGCACCAGCAGCAAGGAAACACTATTTTGCGGCTCCGGATCTGGTCCCGTTTGAATATATTATTTATTTTCTCTGACTAAAAGGCATAAAGTATCAGAGTGATTTGCGCTAATTTTTCTCTTTAAGCACGAGTCTTTATATGGCTTTAAAATGTTGCACCCTGACCAGTAATCACCTCCATGAAGTTATATGCTTCGAGCACAAGGTTTCTTCATGACTCCCTCAAAAACCCTGCTACCACTGTGTGCCTTCAAAGAGCTGGAGCTAACGGTTTACCGGGAATACTTTGGAAGGCTGGAAGAATCAGTAGCTTTTCCTCTCCACTGTAGATTCTGGATTTATTTCCCATATGACCTCCCTTCTTACTGCAGTATCTAACAGTAATAACACTGGCTATTTGATCTCAGAAGACTCTTAAATGCATCTTTTATGTGGAGATGGTCTGTTTGGGATTTAGGCCTCACATTAATAATGGATAGCAGTTGTTTTAGTTATTGTAAAAGTCCCCCCCCCCCCGCAACTTCCAAAGTTACTATTTTAGTAACTTGTGGAAGTATGGAATGAAACTTCTCCAACCACTTCTGGCAAGGTTCACAATTGCATATGGATAAGATGCAAAGTGTAAGATAATTTGAATGAATTATAGTCTGCAGTGAAAGTGCTGAGATTCAAAGGCTGAAATTCTAGCTGGCAAAAGTTTGCAACACATAGAACTTGTAGATAATACCAGCATGCTGCAATGTCGAGAAAGACCCTCATGGACACAGCGTTGTCTTCTCGAGTGAGATTTGAAAAGATAAAAGTTCTAGTCTTGGGTTGTGTGTTTCAGGAGCATACCTGCGATTCCATGCAGGCCTCAGGCACAGTCAGGTATTTAACAAAGTTAGCTTCTCTTGAGTTATTATCACGTTAAGAAAGTTTTTTTTTCTTCCCCTTTCCCCCCTCCTACACACTTGGCAGCTTTGATTGACGCATTCACTGGGCCTTCACACCACTAAGAGAAACGCTTATTTGGTGTAGTAGTTTGTGAAGAAAATGTACAATAAACAGGGAATAAAGGCTCATTTGTTTTATGAGAGGGTCTTTAAAAGTTGATTTACAATTTATTTAACTTTCTGGAATATTTATAATACGTTAGAGCCAGTTTCAGAAAGAAAAACTTGGGCCGTTTATTGCTCATTTAAAAAATAAAAAGATCCAGTAAGCATGGTGATAAATGCTGTAACTGAAAGAGTAAACTCAGCTTGCTTGTGTGCACTTTGAAGGGGCTTTACCTTGAGAAGGCCAGGCCTCTTCTTTTGACTGAGGATGGGCACATCACAACCAACTCATGTACCTGCCTAAATACTGACAGTTCAGCAGAAATTTATGAGTAAACCTTTCAAAAAAAGAAGTAGTTTCCAGCACTGCCACTATTCTGTGGCTCTTAAACTTGGCCTGTTTTCAAACAGATCCACATTTTAGATGCTGGTTCAAAGTAATGCGGCTTTGAAGCAGGGCCACAGGTTTATTTTTACTAGTGGTCTGTAACGTTCTCACCAACTATGTATGTAAAATACTACTTTTTCTCTCTTCACTATCTTTTGAAATATTACACACTTCATGGTGTTTTGTTCAGCAACATGATCTATAAGGACACACTCCCCACCCCCTTGAATCATTTATGCTTTCCTTGAACATTCCCGTAAATTTTTTTCTTTTCTTTTTTTTTTTTAAAGTTTGAATGTTTGGGGAGATATTTCTGTCAATAAGTTGATTAAGTATAATTGTCATGTGAGTAACGTTACATAGAATGCTGTGTACTTTTATTTGCATCCTAGAAACCTTTGGGGAATAATATATTGTGAATACCTCTGTTGTAAAACTGGGGACGTAGACTGTCCATGATGACTAGCTGACCTTATTCTCAGTTTTTGTCTTTTTTTTTTTTTTTTTTTTTTGAAGTGATACTATGGGCATTTGGTTGGCAGGTGAACACAAAGCTTCTGAGCGTGAACTGATGTAGTTTGCATTTTTTAAGAAGTATTTTGGGAGTTATCTTTGGGCCAAGAGCCACAACTGTTTATTTAGCGTGTTTATTATCATTAATAAGGTAAAGTCTTAGCACAGATATATTATATTTGGAGCTATTTGCACTATAAAATGGAGCTGAGTCTTCAAAATGAAAGCCTCCTTTTGGAGAAGGCTCACTGTGTAATTTAAAGTCGACTTCAGGGACTCTTTCTGTAATGCCACAGAATCATGGTCTCTAGTATATCCTGTATACATCTGGATGTCAGTCAGTATGAAATACATAAAGTTTGTGTGCTTTAGAACATTTTAAGGATGAGCTCAGAATTTGGTAATGTTTAAAGCTTTGTGGTTTGGCATGCACCTTAGCGGATAAACTGCGACTTTTCTTCCAAAGGAATAAAGATTCTCAAACATTACACAGTTTTAAAATGCTAATGGTTTATAGTAAAGAATAATATAATTCTTGTATTTTGTTCTTTCATTCCCAATTTGAAGAATGCACACATGTTAACCAAAGCGCACTACTTTTTTTTTTTTGATCCTTATTTTGAAAAAGACCAAGTTTCAAAAATGAACTTGAGCTATGGAGCCTAAAATTTGTGCAGAAAAAGGGAAAAGGCCAAGTATTATAAAAATTAAATATTCATTATATTATCATACACTTACTTTAAAGAACCCTGTTATATATAATGTTTACATTCTCGGTTAAAATTTATAAAAAATAATTAACAGTTTTAACTATTAAAATATATTACCTTTAGTTAACATTTGACTGTTTAAATTTTTAATAATATTTTGGTAGTGATACTGCCTTTGGTATAACAATTTCTTGTATCTCAACAATGTGTATATGCAGATTTCTCTAACAAACATAAAAAAGAATATATTTTGTATTTATCCACCTTAACTCTTCTTAGGAAGTCGCCAAATGTTCCTCTAGTTTCCTTATCTTCATTTATTTGAAAGTAAATAATTTATCTCGAGGGGCATTTGTGGCAGAAAGCCGTTATATAATATTGGTGTGGTCTGGTTAGTCAAGAGTTGGGTGTTCTCTCTGAGCATTTGTGAACGTTACTGTTTAACTTTTTTTTTTTAAATTTTTATACTTGAATTTTCTAACCAGCATCAACATAAGAGTCACGTATTTTTTAAAGAAAACCGGGTAGCAAAATTCAAATGTTTTAAATTCAATTTCTCTTCAAATTATCCGACTTCTAAAGAGCTCTGTAACGGTTTTCCTCGAGTCTTCTGTTTGCTGATGGGAAAAAACCTGAATTGTTATTTTTAAAAATGAGGCGACATGGTTGGTGGAGCTGACTGCTTCTGAGGGCGTTCTACAGTCCTATCAGAACACTAAATGTGTTCAGTCGCAAGAGTACTGTCACCGTGAGACACCCTGTTTACTCTTGAGCATGGAGCTTTGCTTTGTTTGGTATCCCCCCCCCCTTTTTGTTCTCTTCCCATAGTTCAGTAATGATTTCTTGGGAATAGATCTTTTATTTTAGCCAAATGAATATCAAATCTTCCCTTCTTTTCTGTAGAGACCTGACACATTTTTTTTTTCTAAAATTTTTTTGACAAATTATCTGTAACTATAATATTCAGAAACATAATTAAGATATTACTAAAACACATGAGAGGCAGATCAGAGCCTACATAGACTCTTCAGAGGGAAAGCCTTTGTTTTGACGGTAGAGATGGGTCTTACTCCTAGACTTCCATAAACATTGACTGGCACCTGACTGTTTCGAATTTGCCAATCTGGCGGCCAGGCCCTGGCTGTACTACAAATGGTGAGGTCAAGGCTGGGACAAAATTAGATATGGCCTCCTTGAAATAGGGTTAAAAGTATATATTTCTATAAAGATTTAGATACACAGTGCTTGCTGTGTAAAGGATTTGGGAAGTAGGCCGCACAATAGAATGTACCAAAATGATTAAAAATGCTTAGCAACTTTTTCCTTTCAGATCATAAGCTATGGTACTGAGAATGGATTCCCCTTCCCCTGGTTGCCTTTAGGGATTTTAAGTATGGTTTTTAAAGGTAATATAATACTTGGACCATATTTCATCTGAAATGAGGTATTTCTTTAGGGTAAGTTCCAGAGGCAAGTTGTCTCATTTTGCGTTGGCCGTATTCGTATTTTTGTTTTTATTCTTCTTCCTAGGATGAGTTTCATCCTTTCATTGAAGCACTTCTGCCCCATGTCCGCGCCTTCGCCTACACATGGTTCAACCTGCAGGCCCGAAAGCGAAAATACTTCAAAAAACATGAGAAGCGCATGTCGAAAGAAGAGGAGAGGGCCGTGAAGGATGAACTGCTAAGTGAGAAGCCTGAGGTCAAGCAGAAGTGGGCTTCCCGACTTCTGGCCAAGTTACGGAAAGATATCCGACCCGAGTACCGAGAGGATTTTGTTCTTACAGTTACAGGGAAAAAACCTCCATGCTGTGTTCTTTCCAACCCAGACCAGAAAGGCAAGATGCGGAGAATTGACTGCCTCCGCCAAGCAGATAAAGTATGGAGGTTGGACCTCGTCATGGTGATCTTGTTCAAAGGTATTCCGCTGGAAAGTACTGATGGCGAGCGCCTTGTAAAGTCTCCACAGTGCTCTAATCCAGGGCTCTGTGTCCAGCCCCATCACATAGGGGTTTCTGTAAAGGAACTCGATTTATATTTGGCATACTTTGTACATGCAGCAGGTAAGTGTAATGGGAAGAACCCCTTCTACTTTCTTGTGTGTGTCTCTTCTGCTGGCCTCTGAGAATGCTGAACCATTCCCGACCTCCCCATAGTGCAAACTTAGGACATCATCCAGCCAGTGAGGTTTCAGAGGTATACCAGAGTCAAAACTGCTTAAACAACCTGCTGCCCCTGTTCTGAGGTGCCAGCCTCATTCAGGTATAAAAGCAAAGCTCTCAGAATTCCCCACTCAGGTCACGTATGGTAAGTAATGCTGTCGGAGGTCTTGGGAATCCAATGGATGAAAAGTTGTGGTCACATCTTTTTTTTTTCAAGTCATGGTAAGAGGCTCATGATGACTCTCGTAATAAAGAGTAGGTTTTAAACTGGATTGTGACCTTATTAAAATACATTTAGTTTGTTGTTAGCTGCTTTTCTGTTGGGACTGTTTTCAACCTTCTGAGGCCTCTTGCAACCCCTGCCAAGTAAGAAGTTAGAGGCAAGGTTCCTATCAAAATGCTGGTCACTTATGAAAGAAAGATAATCACATTAATATACAAGCTTAGCAGCTTCGTGTGTGGGAGCTCTCAGTGTTCTCTCAAATGGCTAAGGGAACCCAATCAACTAAATTCTAAGCAAGTGACAGAGGGGTTAATATTAAATGTGACCAGCTGGCGTAGCCCGTCTGAATGCATTGAGAAATCACTATTGGTAATTGATCCATCGACCTACGTTGATTTGTATGAGATTCACTATTGATTTTGAGACATGTCTTTTCCGGAGCGTGCTTCAGAACTTGGAAGAGCTGAATTCAGGAATCAACTGTTGAGAGCTGGGTGAAATAATGCAGCTTTACTTTGTTCTTTTCGTCTTGTTTTAGACAAAGGCTCATTGTGTTACGTGAAAGCTCAGGTCTTGTGTAACTTGTTGACTTTTTATATGTACATATCAGTCTTGCTAGATTGCCTTCATGGCAGTTGCTCAAGCCAGATGGGAGAAAGAAAGTTGTGGAATCCAACCAGTGACTTGTTTAGGAGCACTCTTGTTCTCTCTGTCTCTGTCTCTGTCTCTCTCTCTCTCTGTCTCTGTCCCTGTTTCTCTCTCTTTATCGTGCATGTACATACACACCAGACACACACTCACCCCCCCACACACACACAATGAAGAGAAAAAGATAAAAAAGATACTGCCAGCAATGTTGGCACGATTTTGCAAAAGATTCTTAAAAAAAAAAACCAAAAACAAAAATAACAATAAAACAAACAAACAAAACTTTCAAGGAACCTGGCTAACATTCCACTCTCTGTTTTTTCAATATATGATTTAGAAAGAGAACTTTTGTTACCCATCTGTCCTTACTTAAGAAACTGGAGAAATTGACTTTGCAAGCCTGTCACATCATCATTTGTGTTGGGTTGGCAGGGGCTAGATGTGTGTGTATTTCAGAGGATGTGCTCGGAAAAACGTTTCAAATATTTGGGCTTATTGAAAATGTATATTTGATTATAAGGCATGCCTGTTGCTTTAGCCAGTCCTAGGCAGCAGAAGTTCTAAACAGTTAACAAGTGGCCTTTCCTTAATCCTCCTTAACCTTGATATTCATTTTTCTTGTCTGTAGTAAAAGCAAAGTTAAAGGATTTTTTTTCCTTCTTCATTATTTGTATGTGTTAAATGCCTGAGGGTGTTCCCAGTGCTTTCTTAGTATACCTTTTACATTGGGTATTTATCTTTGCCTATTTAAGAAAAGGCTTTATTAATGATAGTGAATGTTCTGATGGGGCAACTTAGAAACTTGAGAGTGGCAACGATTGATGTAGCATGTGTGCATGTGTGTACTTCCTCCAGAAAAGAACAAAACGGACTTGTCTGTGGAGTATATCTGTCAGTTTGAGCAAGACCCACTCTGGGCTTTTAAGTAAAGCATTTCTCTGAGAATCTCAGGGAAACTACCTTTAAAGACATTTAGCTGTCTTGCTCTTCCCATTCCCTGGTTTACCTTTCTCTGTTGGTGGGTTAGTATTGTGCCGATGCTTCCTTAAGCTAACCGGTTGCTTGGCTGGTGCGATGCTGGAAGGAAGGATGCTGCCGTAATGCCATTTGGGAGGTTGCTTAGGAAGGTTCACATTCTTACAGCTTATGAAAGATTTATTGACAGCCACATGGATCAGACTACCTTCAGTTGGTTTGGTGCTCCTCATGTATCCCAGAATCCCTCCTCAGGCCTGAATACCAGCCAAATGTCTGGCTGCCCAATCCATTGGTTTCCAGAGCACTGCAGTAATGGCTGCCCATGTGCCGGCAACAGAGGCCTTACAAAAAGAAAGTAGTAAAGGCCTTTCATCAGAATATATTTCAAATCTGACTTAAGATATTTTGAAATCTCTTATTTGTGGAAGAGAAGCTGCCAATGCCAATATGAGGTAGATTGGTCAACCTATGTACAGCTGACTTGACAAGCATCTGTTATAATGCCGAAGATTTGTAAACACTAAACAATGTTTTTACCTCCTTAAAAGTTTTGAGAACTTGCCAGTACTGGCAAGAAGCACAGACTCTGAAGTGTTCTTCCCAATCCATGCCAAAACCATTGTGGCCTTTGCACCTGTAATGCATTTTTATTTATATTTCTTTGAAAATGTTCTTTTTTCCCTTCCAAAATGCCTCCCCTCCTCTACACAGCCACCAAACTGAGATTTTTTTTCCTTTTTAAAATATGCACATTGATTATAACTTCATGTACTAGCTGCTTTTTTTTTTGTCAAAACATTAGAATGTGAATACTGGAAGCAAATGCATAATCAAATATTTGTTAAAAGCAGAGGCGATTTTTTTTTCTTATGGCTTAGATATAATAAAAGCCAATGCTTTGACCAAATCCCTAAGTCTGGTGGTATTAGAACTGTGTGAATTTTGTGGCAGATACACAGTAAGAAGCAGAGTGAAAGCAAGTGATTCCATGAGCCTGAGACTTTCCTCTTGTCTATAAAATAACAAAACCATTTTATGTCTTTAATTTGGTCTCTATTTGCATTGTCTTTCCCATGTATTATATGATGACTTGGTGGTATTATGGTATCATGGCAAATGGTTTTCTTTGTGGGCGTGTAACAGTAAAGCTAATTTATGACCAGCCTTTACCAGATGATCTGTATCAGAATCTACAATATACCCGGCACGTGGCAAGGTCACAATTTAAGTTGTTAAGGTCATAACCTTAGCCACCAGGCATTTGACCTTTTAGATAAAGTTAACCTTTGTTCATTAGTAGGCACTCAACCGAGAACTTTCTGGAGAGTTTTTTCTTTCCTTCTTCCTTTCTCTCCCTCTCTTTCTTTCTTTCTTTCTTTCTTTCTTTCTTTCTTTCTTTCTTTCT